ATTCGATAACAAAAATTATTGACAATGCATTAATTAAATAAATTGATAATAAATCTCATATTATATAAATGCGAAACATATTTATTAAATTACTAAACTAATTTTGATTTCTTCTTTTTCACACAATTATTGCATTTCCCTCAAAACTGTTTAAACTTCTGTCCTTGAACTTTTGCACGGTGTAGGCATTTGGGGGCAGAGCAAATGCATTTCATATTCAATTTTCGATTAGAGTGAACGCATCAGACAACACAATCATGACTATTGCCTTAGCCACAGGGCAGCAGCAAAATTAGTTGCAAGTCTACTACGGCGACAACAAGCAACAGCAGTTCGCAGCTGGTAGCAACAGTTGCTGCCAGAGACGGAAGTGTTGTTGGCCAGGCCAGGCATGTGGCTCAGCTCAGCAGTTGGGCATTTGGCCAATTGGCTGTAGGTGGAATTTACTACAGCTCCCCCCAGCGCCCAGCCGCCTTGTGTCAATGGATTAATTGCATTTGCTTGCTGAAGTAGCGCAGCTGCCGCAGTGAAAGCAGCAACAATAGGAGCAGAGCAGAGCAGAGCAGAGCGGAGCAGGGAGAGGTAGAACTGCCACAAAGTAAACAGAGCTGAAATTTTTGTGTTGACAACTTTGTTAGCTGCAGGCGGTGGTAGCTCTGGCTGACCATTACATGACATGAGATACGCGTATTTTGCATGGCTGATTGAGGCTGCGACTGTGGCTGCTCCAATTCGCGACACGCCACACGGCAGACTGTTGCTGCCACACTTCAGCGGCGTTGCATAAAGCAGCAGACAAAGGCATACACACTCACACAGACACACCTGCACACCTGCACACCTGTACATCTGGGCGCTAATTTAAAGTCAGCCGTGTGACGACTTCAACAGCCAACTCCAATTCAGTTCAGCTTGCGACGCGACAACGTGCGGTTGCACAACTTGTTGAGCACATCTCGCAGCGCGTGTTTTTCAAACAAAATTTCTGTTTTACTTTTATGGCTGGCCAAAAAACAATTATGGCCATAAATCGAAAGTGGTACGCGCTAAAAAGCCAAAATGAAAACCAAAAAGAATTCATAATAATAGATATTATGCCAGTTACATGAGCCGCATTTGTGTGTCCGCCGCATGCAAATGTTGTTATCGTCGTCGTCGTCATTGTTGTTGCTGTTGCTGTTGTTGGCACGCTTTAGAAGTACTAGCCTAAAAAAATGCTTATATATGCATGTTTTATTATGCCATAAGCAGCGCCGCACACGTTTTGCAAATTTTCATTCACAAATACAGAAAAAACCCAGGCAACAACAACGGCAGTAAAAACATTTGCATGCGAATAGTTTTTTTTTTAAACAAATTTATTACAGCATGTGACACAAAAAACAAGCGAAAAATTGTTGCAAAATTAAAATAATAACAAGCAAGAGAGAGACGTAAAAATATATATATATATTTATT